TCTCTATTCTTGTATTTCCTCGGTTTAATCAATTGGGAGGCACATCTCAAATAGCGATCTTTAAAATGACGCTATTTTCAACGACTTTGGGTAAATAGCAATTCAAAAGAGGTGGAGAAATGCATTCAGTACAGAATTAAGAGATTTTCAGTCAAAGACAGGAATATGGAATGGGAAATTTGAAAACGAAGATAGCATTGTCAAGACGCGGTCGTTGTCCATAGAAAATTGAGGTAATATACAAAGATTGATAAATAAAAGTCCCAAACAGAAATGATTTGACACATCGAAACATCTATCTACCTATCTATCTCTGTTCATTCATATCTATCTATCTATCTATCTATCTATCTATCTATCTATCTATCTATCTATCTATCTCTGTTCATATCTATCTCTAAAAGGCAGGATGTGTGTGTGTGTGTGTGTGTGTGTGTGTGTGTGTAACGAATGCACGGCCGCAATTTTCGACAGTTTGCACCAGAATTTACATGCACATGCTCAGATTTAGTGGGAAAAGGCCAAGACCGACTTTGCATTTTCACGTTCATCGATAGTGGAAATAATCGATTTTCATGCTTCTACGTCAGTTTTCATGTAGTTTGCGGCCATTTCTACTGGCCTGGTGAGAGTTTATAACTGGCTGCCACGAATAGGCAGGAAGATTCTATTGGCCAGCGTGAGAGCCAACAGCTGACTGACACGAATTTTTAACTAATATGCTAGCATGCAAAAAAAAATCGATAAGCTACATTCGTCAAGTGGGGAAAATTTAAATCTGCGGCGCTTTACTCTAATTGGCTCATTCGCTTTGCTTAAACTCAACGTTGATTCTGATTCCGCAGAGTTGGGTTGATGTGAAAAGCATTTGTTGTTAACATTCTTTTTTCATTCGGTTTTTTAGTTACGAGTCCTTTTTTAAAGCTGATCGTTTTGTGTTCATTTTGTTTAGTTCTTTTTCGTAACAGATTTAATGTTTAGTATAGAGCTTAGAAAAAAATCGCAATGTGAGAAGTATATGTAGCAACATCAGCATTGCAAAAGGGCACCCTTTAAAGGCAGGGGAAGGACAAAAAATATATAAGTCAAGTGATAGTGATTGCTGTATGAGTCGTACAATTTTTTGAATCAAGCACAGGCAACGCCGGGCCATGCTGCTTGTCTATCTATTTTATTAATATAATCTGATATAGATTTATATGTGTATCGTAGCTAAAATGTCTATTCATATCTATCTATCTATCTATCTATCTATCTATCTATCTGGCTTACGGCCTCATCACGATGAAACACTGATTCCCGAACGATCACTGAAGTTAAGTTTACTTAAATGTAAAATCTATTATAATTAATGAAATAACAAATAATTGTATTAAAAATTCATTTTTCATCGAAAAAATCTTTTTGCTTTCAGAAAATATTGTCCATATTCATAAAAACAACTAAAAGCAAATAAAAGCATTTGAAATTAAATAATATATTTGTTTTATTGAGTTTTGTATGTTACAATTCAGAGCTGATTTTCAGGTACTGCGTATCCAATTAAAAACAAAAAAACATGATTTGCATTCCTCAAAAGCCCTGTGCTTTTAATTATTGTAATCACTAAAACCGATGCGATCGAATTTCTAGCGTTTTCATAAAATTAGTTATAGCAGGGGTAATTTTTTTTTTAAATATTTCTACCATGACTTTCATAAAAAACATATTTATAATAATTTCGATCATCTGAATAGTTTCTGAAAGTTTCATTAACATCCGATAATTATTTCTATTTTTGCAATGATTTTTTCAAATTAATGGGTGTCATACCAAAAAACGTACTAAAAATTGTCTATGTTATTTACTAGTTCCATGATCCAAATAGAAAAAAAGGTTTTTTAATCAAAATTTAGAATGTTCTAAAAGAAGGAAATTATTTTAAAAATAATTAAAAAAAAAAATTTGGTCTTTCCCTCTTAATAATAACATAAGCATTTAGACAATAAAATTTAGTTTTCGGCAAGTTTGGCGTCTTTTTCATCAAGCTATGCTCTTTTTTTAGTGATTTCGTGGAGGTACCTACATTTACTGAATACAATTTCTAACCGTATACTGGCGTTTTATTTTTCAGTGTAAGATCTGTATTATTGTTATATCTTTTTAGAAATAAACCAAGCTTAAATACAATTTTCAAACAATACATTTGGACGTATTTTATCAAACGCTTTTGCATAATCTATAAAGTATATATATATATATATATATATATATATATATATATATATATATATATATAATATGTGAAAATATATAGAAAATAGGGAAGGAACTGGTTAGGTAAGTAATCCAAAAAGTTCCTTAGTATTTTATCCTTATTATTTTTTAAAATAGTGCTCGATACAAAAGTAGAGCATAAATATAATTATTTATTTGAAAATATGATTCCAACTCATCACATAAGAAGTCTTATGTTTCAAAAACAAGAGCCAAAAAATTTGAATTAAATTGAGTTAAAGTAAGCTCTGTTCCATCTTCAAGCCAATTTTTTGGGAATAACGTATTTCTGAAATTTACGTGTTTTAATAATTGAAATCAGAATTTCCATGGTAACAGCTTGGGCGAATTGTTTAAATTGGGTAGGCGGGTGTTGGGTGTTAATAATAAGTATCAGTATAGAGTTACTTTCGTAGATGTCAAGTCAGTGAAAGGTGGGATTTCAGCTCTTGTTTTGAAACATGAGACTTCTCATGCCGCGAGTTGGAATCATATTTTTTGAATAAATAATTATATATATATATATATATATATATATATATATATATATATAATTTAAATTTAAATAAAACAGACCACTTTAAGGTTCCATGTAATAAATTATTTCACCACAGCCCTTTTTTTTTGGACTGCGGATCATCAGACCTTACTTCCAAACAAAAATGAAAAAAAATTTACACATTTTGACGGGCCGTATTAAACATATGTAAATTAACGAATTGTGAAAGTGAGGGGGCAGAGAGAAGACATGAGTGAGTTAGCAGATATTGACACATTTAAACGGTTAACTTAACGGAAGTTATATGTTGATATCGAAGGGTAGAGAAGAAAAAACCCATAGAGAAAAAGTTTTTTTTTTCATGAAAACACCTACTCTCATGACTTCTTTCTCTCTTTTTCTCTCTATACGGCCTCACAAAAATGTGTAAATTTTCTTTTCATTTTTTGTTTGGAAGTAAAGTCTGATGATCCACAGTCACTTTAAAAGGGCTGTGGTGAAATAATTTATTACATGGAACCTTAAAGTGGTCTGTTTTTATTTAAATTATTTGCTCTGGATTTACATTGAGCTCTCTGGATTTTATCCTCCTTAGGTTTACCATACGGATTACCTAGTTTTTCATAAACTATATATATATATATATATATATATATATATATATATATATATATACGTCGTTTTGCGTTTATATTGCTCTTTCTGATATTATTCTGAGTGTAAATATTGCATTTCTTCTTCCAGTGTCTATAACGAAACGATGAAGTTCTTGTACTATATCGGGTTTAAGGCTGCTTGTTAATGCCTTACTAGTAATAAATAGGTTTATTTTTAGAATCTTAATAGAATACAAAATCCTTTTTTCTTTGGGAAGCTTGGTGCTTTGTTGAAATTAGCTTTGGCATGTTAAATGAAATATTGTGGGTGGACAGTTACACAAATACACACACATTATTTTCTGTTGTACATTTCGGAGTTCAATTTTTTTAAAAAAGAAAATCTATATCGATAGTTAAAAGTTTTTGATTGATCTTGGCGTCTGTCGATTTGTCTGTTGAATCATTTGGCCAAAATGATAAAAGAAAAAGAAGAAAAAGAAAATTATCGACTTCAAGAAATGAGAGCAAAGTTGAACCTCATTCATTCAACATAAAATGTCTTTCTCTGAACTGATTGAACCTTCGAACCGCTGTACAAGTACAATTGAGAGAAGGTCGGACGTAATGATTTTAGATGGATGAAATCAAGGCAAATCGGCGTGACATTTGGTGCCTAAAATCACTGTGAAAGCAAAAAGGTAGGAAAAGAAAAGTGAAAGGGGAAAAGAGAGTTAAAAGAAAAAAAACTTGAATGGAAGGACGTTAAGAATGAGAGAATGGGTGAAAAAAAAAAGAAAGATTGTAAAGAAATAAAGAAATAAAGAAAGAAAGAGAAATATGATAATGGCGTGGAAAGAAGGGAAATTGAAGGAATACAGAAAAAAAAATGGAAAACAGAAAAGAGAACATCATGAATTCTGGGGAGAAAAAAGACAAATTAAACATAAATGAAAGGAAATCATAAAAACATCAAAGAAAGAAAAGACAAATTGTTATGGTCCAGGTTAGAACCAAGGAAGAACAACACGAACACAAGAGTAGAAATAACGAAGGTATATTACACGAAATAATAATACAAGATGTGGAAGGTGTTAGTATGACTGTCAGTCTGGTTTGGAGTGAACTACTATCGGCTCGACTCGATTCGATATTAACTAGCCCCCACCCCTACGAGGGAAAGATGTGGCACAAGGCCGAGTTTTACGTGGGTTTTCCGAGCCCGTAGGCTCGGCCAAAAATGCCCGTAGAAACTGTAAAAACAGAATCGGGTTGGTCAACCTCCCCGAACGAGACTCTGACCTTAAGCGGAGTCTCATCCGGGTTCCTCTTTGCTCACAGACAGAGAGTTCGACCGTCAATCAGAGAAGCTCGGTTCAGTTCGGTATCTAGCTCCCCCCCCACGAGGGTTGCATGTGGCACAATGCCGAGTTTAACGTGGGTTTCCCAAGCCCGTAGGCTCGGCTAAAAAATGCCCGCAGAACCCGTATAAACGGGATCGGTTTGGTCAACGTCCCCGAACGAGACTCTGCCCTTCGGCGGAGCCTCGTCCGGGTTCTTCTCTGCTCATAGGCAGAGAGTTCGACCGTCAAGCCGAGAAGCTCGGCTTGATTCGTTCCTCTCTCTTGAGAGGCGTAGTATACAGAGTGTTAGGAAGAATTCATTCTGTAGTTATAGGTAAATACCCATGACACAAATGAGGGAATGAAAGAAAAGAAACAAAGAAATGAAAAAAAGCTGAAAATTAAAAAAAAGCAAAAAAAAAAAAGATTGAGAAGGAGGTAAAGAATGAATAAAAAAGAGAAAGAAAGTAAAAGAAGACAAATGAAAAGAAAAGAAAGAAAAATAATGAAAAGAAGAGAAAAGAATGAAAAATTACGAGAAGGAAAATAAAGAAAATAGAAAAAAAGTGAAGCGAAGGAGTAGAAGGAAAAAGAAGTATAAAAAAAACAAATGAAGTAAAATGAAGAAAATAGAAAAGAAACATAAGGAGAAGAAAGACAAAGAAAAGAAGAAAAGAAGGAAATTAAAGAAAAGACAAAAAGAGAAAGAGGAAGGAGAAGAATGAAAAAGAAGTGAAACAGACAAAAGAAGGAAAGCAAAGAAAATAGAAAAAGAGAGAGAGAAGGAGAAGAAGGAAAAAGAAGAGAAAAGAAAATAAGAAAGAAATAAAGGTAAGAGGAAAACGAGAGACAAAGGAGAAAAAGGAAAAAGAAAAAGTAAAGAACAAAAGAAGAAAAATAAAGAAAAAATTGGAAAAATAAAGAAAAAGAAAAGAATGAAAGAATGAAAAAAGAAAAGAATAAAAAAGGAAAATAAAGAAAAGAGAAAAGAAAAACGAATAAGAAAAAGAAGAAAGAATGAAAAAAGAAAAAAACAATAAAGAAGGAAAAAAAGGAAAAAAAAAAAAAAAAGAAAGAAGGAAAGATGTAAAAAGAAGCGAAGAAAAGGAAAAAAAAGAAGGAAAAGATGTAAAAAAAGAAGAAGAAAAGAAAAAAGGAAAAAAAAAGAAGAAAAAAAAAGAAGAAAAAAAAAGAAGGAAAACTTGAGAAAAATAAAAGTGATGTGGAAGCAAGAGAGATGTAAGAGAGGGTAACAGAATGAGAGACATGAAAGAATAAAATATCAGAATGAAAAAAAAAATAATGCGTGAGAAGAGAAAGTCACAAGATACCAAATAAAGGATTAAATCAGGAACGAAAAACATGAATGAAAACAAAATAGAAGTGAAAGATGACGAAGAGAAAGCAGGGCATGTTAGAAAATAAAATTAAAAAAGACTTTCATAAAATATAAAAGAAACCTTTGGTCAGGATGAAAGAGAAAAGATTGAAAGAAAGAAAAAAAAACCTGAAAAATACTTTGGTGACGTCAACATCAATAAATATATTATATAAAACCAAAGTTAAGCTACTGGCGAAACATCTTGCCATAGATTTCGCGTTTAAAGGATAGTCAGATTTTGAAGCAATCGGATGATCTGTGAAAACAGCGAAACAGTCTATCTGTCGATGACAATATATATATATATAATTATTAAAAAATATGATTCCAACGCTACATAAGAGTTCTCATGTTTCAAAACAAGAGCCGAAAACTTCAATATAATTATTTGAATTAAATTGAATTAAAGTACCTTCAGTATCTTCAAGCGAAATCTTTTTTTGAATAACTAATTTCTGAAATTTACGCGTTTTATAAGCATTTTCATTATTAAAATTAAAATTACTATGGTAACGGCTAGAGCAATTATTTAAATAAATAATTATATTTATGCTCTACTTTTGTATCGAGCACTATTTCTTAAAAATAATAACAAAAATACTAAAGAACTTTGGATTATTTACCTAACGAATTCTTTCCTATTTTCTATATATTTTTACACACACACACACATACACATCAATACATTTATTTGCTATGTTTCATTCCTGCGTTTGTCATTCATTTGAGACCGGATTTCACCTCGGAATTCACAACAGTAGATAACTTATGATAAAAATGATTTATTAGGGAAATTTAAAAACAAATCTTTATCTCTTTTCGTAAGTTCAAGGTGGGGAGGTGGGTATAACTAATAAATCATTTTCATCTACCATCGCCTGAAGAAGTCTCATCTTAATACTGAAACATGAAAGTTTTTTGTGTATCGATGTAAAATGTTTTTATTGTAATTTATCATAATAAAGATATTATAATATTTTGCTCTACTTTTACTGAGCACTTTAAAAAATTCTACGACTTGTGCATTTTTACTCTATCTGTTTTTTCTCATATATATATATATATATATATATATATATATATATATATATATGACCACGTTTAGGAGGATACCCTAGTCAAGACGCATTCTCAGGCGTATTTGTGTTTATTCAACACCCAAAGAGAAAACCTGTGGTTTATACTGCATCTATGCTGAGAAGACCTTAGTTACAGCTTCTGAGAAAGAGCGTGCTATCTAGCGTGATCAACACTTTGAATAAGGCCAGCACGCTCAAGCACTCCTTCACGATGACTTGTGACTTCATGCTAACACAGCTATCGACGGCACCAAGGGTTCCGTCTAGCCAATTGCATTCACGAGTCTTGGGTCAAGGCGCCGTACGCTGGGATCGAACCCTCCAATCCAATAACAACCATGGTGAAATTCGAACCAGGGTCTCATGGTCAGAGTACGAAAGTTGTAACCACTCGCCCATGGATATATGAATGTGTAATGTTGAGAGTCTGTGACAATCGACAAAGATTTTGCTTAAAGTAACTATTCAGCCTTGCTTGATAGGCAAATGTTCTTCGTTGATGAGTCGGTTGAAGGATGTCCCATCGAACGATGGTTCCCTCTGTCCAGGGAAAACTCAGGAGAGCGCATAGTTTTCTTTAATAAGACATCTCGAATATTAAGGCCGGTAGGCGAAAATAAATAAATATGCTGTTGTTGTTTCTAAATTTCTTAAAACTTCTTCGTTGCTCACATGTTCTGCTCATGGCATTCTCATGATAATCAAAATTATATTCAAGCATCCACTTGTGAAAACAATAATAATAAGACTCACATATCAGCTTTCCAAACTTTGTAAATCTAAGCAATATTTGTCCCCTTACAATTCCTACCGGGGGCCCAGTCCATTTACACAAGATCCTTCGGTACGCTAGTCGATCTTTTCTTCTGTCCATCGTGCCTTTAAAATATCCTGTCAATGTCAAATTCTCAAAAACCTCTTTCCTTATTATGTGCCCTTGAACTTTCAACTCGTCTCTTCTTGATTCTAATGACATTTATATATTAAACATTTTCTAGGATCGATATTTATGCTGTTACACGATTTACACTTTGGCAGTTACATCCGTACACACACAGACACACACACACACACACACACACACACACACACACACACACATATATATATATATATATATATATATATATATATATATATATATATATATATATATATATTGTTATTAAATAATATAGACAAGTGTTGTCTATTTATTTTATGTAAAATTTTTTCGTATCTTCTGATAAGTTTGATAACATTATCATTAACCGAAAAAAGAAATTCACAATATTTATCCATTATTTTTTTAATATAATCTAAGCTTTCGGCTTACTCAAGCCATTATCAAAGATGTAATTACAAACATATCAAACAATATACGGACACGACAGTGATGATAGTCTGTCATTGTTTAGTTTACATAGTGGATCACTAAGCAACGATGAACACGCGCATATAAGACGCTAGAAGCGAAAATCGCATCACATCTCATGACGTCACACATGACTACACGAGAGTGAATTGGAGAATGAAATAAGGAAAGCCGTTGGTATAAACCAATGGCTTCTGTTACCAATTATAGAAATTATAGACATTTAAGAATATTTGTAGAGATTCCATAGTTGATTTTGTTTAGGTTGGGTTTTAACTGTTTGATGTATAATGCTTCAAGTATTTTTTAGTTTTTGTCTATTGTTTTCATGTCGAAGTATAGTTGTGTTTTCGACAAGTATTTTACGGAATTGTGTGTGTGCAGGCAGGCATGTTGTTTTAAATGCCTAAAAATGTTAGAGTTTTCATTAAAATGTAGTGTCAAGCGTCGTGAAAGCGAGTTTGTGGTGTGACCAACATAAATATTATTTAATTCGTTGGAGATACACTCTACCAAAGGGCACTTGAATTTATAAACTATGTTGGTTTTTTTTGCAAATCGCTAACCGGGGAGAAGAATCATTGTGAAGTATTAAGTTGGATATACTAGATTTAGTGTAGTATATGATTAATTTAATTTTTTGCTAGGATCTGTAGTTGATATATTAGAATTTACTAAATTTTTTTTAGTATGTGTTCATCTTGTTTATAATTAGTATGCATTTTGATTACGATATAGGAGATTAATATATTTGAGATCAGTAGAAGCAGTATTATGTACAATTTGCTTATTATTGAGATTTCTAAGAAAGTATCTTATTTGTTCATCAACTATATAGTTTGGAAAGCCATTATTAATAAGTGTCTGTTTTATATTCTTTAGTTCACTGTAAAAAATCTGTTTGGTGGATGAATTAGTTTCTGCACGATGTATTAGATTCTTTATAATTGCTATTTTATAGTAATATGGGCATTCACTCTTGTAGTTAAGTGTACATGAATTTATGCTTGTAGGTTTATTGTATGGCGAAATAGTAAATTTGTTATTATTTGTGTTTATCAATATATGTCAAGGAAGGATTTTATTATTAGTATTGAGTTCATATGTGAATTTAAGGACAGAATTATTTTTGGAACCGTTTTTGAAGTTGAATTATTTCATCTGTATTTTTAACTAACATAAGAATATCATCAACGTATCTTAGGTAGATTGATGGTTTTTTAAAATCTGTAAATAACTTATTTTCGAGGTTCGACATGTAGAAATTGCTAAATGTCGGGCCCAATACTGAACCCATGGAGACACCATCACGTTGTATATATATATTGTTATTATGATCGAAGAAAGGGACTTCAGTAGTACAAGTTAATAGTAGTTTTCTTAATATATTAGGATTAATTTTAAGTGGGGGTAAAGATGAGTTACTGTATATATTTCTTATGATTATGACAATAGTTTCACTAACAGGGACATTGGTAAATAAGTTTTCAACATCAAGTGAAGCCATGATTTCATTGTCAGGTTTTTCACTTTTTATATATATATATATTAAAAAGAAGAGAGAAACCGCAAACATTTTTGGTTGTAATAAAAAGTCCACATTGCAAACAAAAACGTTTGCGGTTTCTCTCTTTTTAAAATATACACTTTTCTCTGGTTGGAACAACCCTAATCTTTTCCCTATATATATATATTAGTCTGTACAGAAACAGAATGATGAGATGAAATTAAAATGAATTATTGATGAGACTGGAATTTTAAAAATTTCAACTCGTAATTCCATGAGTTCGTGTTTGCACTCAAATAGACTGATAGATGATTATAGATATAGATAGATAGATAGATAGATAGATAGATAGATAGATATGAACAGACTGGGATAGATAGATATAAACAGGCCGAGATAGATAGATAGATAGATAGATATCCGAGACCTTCCCAGGTTAAGTGCATCTACATTTTAATGACTTTATTCGATAAATCCCGTTATTTGTATCTATTTTTTTTTCTAACTCTATCTTCTTTTGTCTTGGAGGTTTTGGTAAACACTCAAGTGCTTGGGATAACGAATTTATTGTCGAATTTTATAGATAGAATATTAGAGGGAAGGATAATAATTTTTATGTTGTTGATATTAGAAGTATTATCGGTGATGTTTTTTTTTTTTTTGACGGGGTGGGGGATTTGTGGATTTTGCATGCCTACTTTCTAGCATTAAGAATGAAAGGATGTGGATTGTGAAGAAGTCTAAATGATTTTTCATTGTATTAGAGACAGATATAAAGAAATTCTGATAGAATAACAAGTGTCATTTTCATTTCCATTTTCCATAGAAGTTCCTCTTTGCCCTTTTTTTTCGTACATGGTATTCTCAGCATCCTTCTGTAGAAACACATTTCCGTTGCTAAAATTCTCTTCTTCGCCTTTGGGGAAATTAATAAAATAGTTTTTTTTTGTCGTTGGATGAGAGATGAAGTTCTTAGTTTTCATAAACGCCGATAATTTAGGGCATTCTCTGTCATTTTAGAGATGGCACGGGGAACTAGAACAGTCTACCCTAGCGAGCGTAATAAAGGGTTCAGTTCGACATTCCAACCAGCTGAAAAAGGCCGGAGCTTACAACGGCCGAAACGTTGTGATAGATATGGCAACAAAGATGAGGATGATAGTCCGAACAGTGTAAATAGTGTACATAATACCTCATCTCAGAAATATAGACAGATACTGAAGTGAATGTAACGTATTCGACTGGAATTCGAACTCCGATTCCTCAATCCGAACCGCTATCCGTTACCCCACCCTGCCATCCATTAAATGACCCATAAGGAGTTGATATGCCATTAAACAAACCAATCAATGAAAATCGTTTCTTAATACTTTGCATAGCTTCCGAAAGGCGTATTTGACAATAGCAATGTGACTTAAGCACTTAAGTAAAGATGGCGTCATTTTTTGCCGGCGCCAGTAACAAGAAATGATATAAATTCTATATTGGATATGAATAAGAAATCCGTTTTTATTGTAATTAACAAAACTGATTTCCCAGATATATAAATCTAACCACAAGAAAAAAATTTAAATACTCATATGGAAGAACCTAATAAAAATAAAGATTAACAAGACACGTCGTCATAATAAGATAAGTAATTAAATAAGTAAAGCAAATAAAACAAAAAAAAACCCCAAAAAACTGTCAATACAATTTTCTCGTTCTTTTCTTAGTAAATAAATAATCTTCCGCGAGGAAAAAGAAATGAGTAACTAATCGAGAAAAGAAGGAAGTTCACGTTGCCGCCGAAACTAATAGCGAATAAATAACTTGCGGAATTGAGTATTTAATAATGAATTTCGTCCGAATATTCGCTACACACAATTTGGTATCGATTTTGCTGTCGGAACATAAAATCGAAAGCGTTCATATACAGAAGTAGCAAAATACTAGAAAGAAATTATAAGAAAATAGTCGCGTTTACTTCAGCATGATTGATAAATAAACTCTACGTATATATTTTTCTCTAATAATATTTCTCGAATATTCAGGCCGGTAGACAAAAATAAATATATTGCTTAATAAATAAACCGAGCATCTACTGAAATATCAATATCCACTAGAAATAACGCTTAAGTATAATTTAACAGTTAAACCTAAAATAGGATAAATTTCAAATTACTTAATAAGAATTTCTCACCGACAAATGTATTGTATAAAATTTTCAATAAAAACTATGTTAAACTAAGTTATAGTTGCCTGCCAAACATGACTGACTTAATTAGTAAGTATAATAGGAAAAAAAATCATAGACAAAGTGTGTAACTGTAGAAATAAGGACGCCTGTCCACTTGAGGGCAGGTGCCAACAGGAGTGTGTGGTTTTAAAAGTCGAAATATATAGAAATAAACCGAATAATACTGATAAGAATCCCAAAGTTTACATAGGATCCACCCAAGGTAGCTTCAAAAAACGTTACTACAACCACCTAAGTAGCTTAAATAATGAAACCTATGAACATAGTACCAGCCTGTCCACATTCATATGGAATATAAAACAAGAAAAAATCAGTGACTCATTTTTGAAATGAGAAATATTAAAAAAAAAATGCCATAAATATAAGGGAGGTGACAGGTTTTATTCGTTATTTATGGAGGAAAAATTAGCTATCGTTACTCATAAGGAAACTAAAAATTATTAAATCAAAGATCGGAGATTCTTAATAAGTGTAGGCATGGAAAAGCCTGGTTATTATAATAGAGGTTTTGTTTTTGTCTTTTTTTTTCTGTCTTATTGGTTTTTAATATTTTCAATGGTTTTATCAATAAATACTGTTCCTTTTTAGGCCAGTTTACCCTGAAGATCCTTTTAGGCGAAACCTAGGTAGATTTGCCTTGATCCTTAGAACTTATTCTAATATATATATATATATATATATATATATATATATATATATATATATATATATATATATATATGTGTGTGTGTGTGTGTGTGTGTGTGTGTGTGAAAAGTGTATATATATATATATATATATATATATATATATATTATATATATATTATATTATTTATATATTATATTATTATTAGAAAGCTCTCAATAGCAGAGATAGAGCTGACATATTTGTTTGGATTGATGTGAGTTTGTGACCCTGGGTTTCACGCTTTTGCGATCGTCAATATATATATATATGATAGCTTAGTGGTAGAAACTCTGACTACACCAAATCAGTCGGGTTTCGCTCCTGGCTTGAGGCATTCGGATGTCTCGTTGCGCCGTGGAGCTGATATACAGTGAAACAGTACTGTCTGGGAATAACACACACATATGTATATATATATATATATATATAGGTTAATAAAATATAGGTTAATAAAACAAGGACAAACGAAAGGATACCAATATAATCAGTACGGTAAATATTTATTAGATATTATTAACCATATGATAGAAATGAAGCACGGTTTTAAGTTTGGAATTTTCGGACACGACTGTGTCTTTCATCAAAAGAGCGAGAAATAAACAGAGAAAAGGGAATTACTCACCAACAGATGGTTTTGTAGACGGTATATATATATATATATATATATATATATATATAGCAGAACCTCATTTAATTCGTTCCCGAAGGCCGTTCGTAAACCGAAATGTTCGTAAACCGAAACTATTTTACAAATAGGAATCAATGTAGAGAAAAAAGTCGCAGTACAATAAAATTGGAAAAGAAAAGCACGGCACAACACACGAATGTATGCAACACGGCGGGCGGTCGATTCAGAAATAATTCCGTTCGGGTTAACTCGATTCGGCAATGATGTTCGAAAACCGAAACATTGTTCGACATCTGAGACGTTCGAGAACCGCGGTTGCACTATATATATATATATATATATATATATATATATATATATATATATATAAAAGACAAAAAGGAAAACTCATCTTTGACTCGATAAAATCCCAAAGACGGCGAAAAGCGTGGGGGTAAGATAAGTTTTCCTTTTGTCTTTAAAACATATTGTCATTTTACAGATATACTCTATCACACACACACACACACACACATATATATATATATATATATATATATATATATATATATATATATATATATATATATATATTTCTTACTAAAAAATATATCTTTTGTGAGTATTATACTTGCGACGCCACATATCATTGTCTATTTAAGATTTTTCAAATCTCTCTCTCTCTATCAGTTTTTCAGCAACATATTAAAACAATGAAAAACATGTTTTTGGTAATTGTTTTTGATATCACGATTAGTCCGATTGTTAAACATCTGCTGGAGGAAATGCAATAATGTTTCAAAAAGTTCTTGAAAACGTATAAGACGGGAACAGGTACATTTGAAAAGAATGTGTTTCCTATCTAATATTAATGGATGACTGTGTGATCGGATCGTTTGAAATGCAACCATTCATCGTTGAGAGGTGCCTGAAAAGCCTATCCAGGGTTTGACCCAAGCACTCTAAGTGAAATTGGGTAGTTAGAACATTTGGACTGGGTTGTGTGGGCGTCGATATTTGTGTTAGTACGAAGTGACATGTCTTCATGTCATTCGTCTTGCTTGGCCATTTAATTTCACATAGTCCCTAGATAAAAACACCAATCCCCCAGCAATCAGGTCACACATAAACAGCCCTCAATTACACAATCCAACGCAAGCGGAAACATCGCTTTTAAAATATCTGTCATAATTTATTTCTATATATCTCCAATACAAAAACAAGGAAGAGAAATGCATTGAAAAATCATTTAGACTTCTTCACTATCCACATCATTTCATCCTTAATGCTAGAAAGAAAACATGCAAAGTCCACAAATCCGAAAAAAAATAAAAATAAAAAATAAAACATCGCCGATAGCACTTTTAATGTCAACAAGAGAAAAATTAGTATCCTTCTTTCTGATATTCTATCTACAAAATGTGACAATTAGTTATCCCGAATACTTGAGTCTTTACCAAAATCTCTAAGACAAACGGAGAAATAGGAAGAAAAATAAATTCAGATACCGGGATTGATCTAATAAAGTCATTGCATTGTAGATGAACTTATTCTGGGGAGACCTCTCGGATATCTATCTATCTATCTATCTATCTATCTATCTATCTATCTCGGTCTGTTTATATTTATCTATCTCGGCCTGTTTATATCTGTCTATCCCCCAGTCTGTTCATATCTATCTATCTATCTATCTATCTATCTATCTATCTATCTATCTATCTATCTATCTATCTATCTATCTCAGTGCTTGCATGGAATTACGAATTGAAATGAAAATTAAAATAACAGTTACATCAACGATTAATGCTAATTTTATCTCATCATTCTGTTTCTATACAGTCTAATATATATATATATATATATATATATATATATATATATATATATATATATATATATAAAATCAAAGTAATTATACTCGTCTGGAAAAC